GAGGTCAAATGAATCTTCTGGTTTTGTTATTGTCCTCCATATTTTAGCATCGTCTGCAAACAGCAGAGTTTGTGGTCCGAGGATGTCTGGAAGATCATTAATAAAGACAAGGGAAAGACGTGGGCCTAGCACTGATCCTTGTGGAACCCCACGGTTGACATATATCGAATCAGAAAGTGAATCGGAAACACGAACTGACATGGTGCGTAGGCGAAGAAACTCCTCGATCCAGCCAAGTACGAGTCCACGAATTCCATAGTTATACAGCTTTCTCATCAGTATTTGATGATTTACCCTGTCAAAGGCTGTCAAAGCCCGTTGTCCCGGATCTGAATGCGAGTGAAGTTGAATGCAACCAGTCTCCGTAATTCTCTTTTCTGGGATATACCGATCGCGAAACGGAATAGCCGAAGTTCCCGTTGAATGCCGGGTGCAGGAAAGATATGATTGATAAAAGAATCAAGTTCTTTGTGTTTTACTCGTACAGATGATGTGAGAATCTTCAGACACTAAGGATCTTGAATGTTATTAATCGTTTACCACCTGAAGGCTTCTGCGTGGGTGCGAATTCCTCGAAACAGTCAGTTACGGATATTTGTTTGTTTGTTTGGAACAAACTGTCCGCCTTGAGAGACAGAAGTGGTGCGTACAAGTTGGACTCCACCTTTCCATAATCCCGCATATTCGAAAAGAGCAACTTCTGTGCATGAACGTGACTTGTCACACACACATCAGGGATTTATTCGCGGCATTTTCTACAAATGTTGATCGAACTGGTCTGACTGATCCGCATAGCTTGTTCTCCGCTAAGAATAACCGATACTAGGGATGAGTAAGGAATTTGAATAATATTTCGCAATCGAAACGGTGTATGTATTGTCAAAATTACACCATCCAAACACCGTAGAATCACAATCCGGAACATAACCTATTCGATTGCACAATAAGTGAACGAGGATGCTCGGGAATCGTTTGTGCTACAAACCGGATGGCAGTTTTATTTATTCAAATAAAAACATTCACAAATCCAATTTTGAGCACATCAACACTGTTTGCCATTGTTCACCGGTTATCCCCGTGTAGATACGAGGACGGATGCCGGGAATGTCAGTGTCAGGACCAAAGAGTGCGTTGCAAAACACCGCACTGTGTGCATTTCCTCCCGTTGCGTAAGAATCCGGCCGAGTATTGTGGAGAAATATTCAAACGGGTAAGTTAACTATGAAACCGGTCAAAGTTTTATTACGGGGCGTTACTTTCAAGCCCAGGCGTCTCTTGTCTCCGTAGCATATTTACACAGGTGAATTGTTTCTTGGCAATACACTTGATAAAAAACCGGTAACGTATAGTGTAATTCTGGATATGAGCTAACAGGTAACGTAGGCTTCAACGAATTTCCCTTTTTTAGTTGTGTGGGAATGTGAGGTGTGCTAGGAGTTCCTCAATTCTCCGCTTGAAATATTCATTATTTGGTGCACAAATCAGGTGAGATGGAAGGATGTTCCAAGTACTGCACACCCGGCATTCTAGTCGGAACTTTGAAATCAGTAACTCGAAGTGAGATGTCCCCCAAAGATATGTGTTATTCCAGAACATGAGCAATGGCCGACACGGATGGTTTGGGTTGGGAAATATTTCATAAACCATAATCAAGAAGTCACATCAAATTCGGAGGTACTGAGCAGAATAAAGTCATCATTATGTTAATATCTCCTCAAAGGTGAGGTGATCAAATACCTAGCCCATCTTGGTGGCGATCATTTGCAGACGCTCCGGCATTTTACGATCACATCGGATGACATTCTGTGTACGGTCGAATGTACACTGATTGATAGCAAACTTGAGAACTGTGCCCGATTCAAATCGAGCAAAGACTCGGCTAAGCAAGCTGACATTTATTCACAACAGTGAACGAAGAAGCTTTGATGCAAATTTACTCAAGCAGTTTAAGTTCTCTTGGAAAATTATACCCAAGTCCTTTCCAATTAGGGTAATGTGGTAGCTGCCCAGTTCCGAGGAAATACGAGAATCTACTCCTGTGGTGTTGGGATAGAACTTTGCAATTAGAAATATCAAATTGAATTCAGTTCAATTTATGAGCTATTGATGAGCTGCGTCAAATGTTTCTTGAAGTGTTAAACAACTCTGCGGTTCTGTTACTGTATTCCAGGTTTTCGCATCGGTCGTAAACAGTATTGTTTTTCGGTCTAAGTACATTCGGTAGGTCATTTATGAATGCGAGGAAAATACGGGGACCGAGTACAGATCCTTGCGGGGAACACCGCGGATAATGTTAGCAGATTCGGATTGGGATTCAGAAACACGAATTGACATGGTCCGTTGTCGGAGAAATACTCTAATCCAATTAAGCACGAAAACTTAAATACCGTAATTGTAGAGCTTTTGTAACAAAATAGACTGATCTACCCGATCAGAATCCAATCTATTCCTTGATCGTTCACAGACTGCTATACGGTAGGAGATGAGAGGTACGAGTGGGGCAATGGGGAGGGGGCTGGCATTAGGTTATACAATTCCCTGAACCTGTTTTGTATTTGACCAAATCCCTTGACTAAAGTGGATGCCCCGAATTGAGCTACTAAACTCATTGAGATTAACGGTATTCTCGTAAGGATGAGCTATTTTGTCTTCTGTGCATCCGGAGAGTTTGAGAGTCTCATGAGGCAAATTCGAACTGTCATCAGGTCTGTCACTGTCTGTCACTGCTCAAAATCTAATTACTCTCGAGTACTGGAGCGGGACTAAGTAGCTGATTATGAAAAAGTGGAGAGCATGTCAACCAAGTGTACTGTCCTTACCGTGTGCGCAGTCATGGAGCTTGATACAAACTGAAACCCAATCAGTTCAGTTTGAGGGAAACGAATTATGCTCATGAAAACATTTCAGTAATACGTGATTTTCTGAGGCTAATAGGTTAACACGTGTAAAACCAAGTCGATTAGGAACACAAGGATATTTTGATTTTCTTTTTGAGTTACAACCTTATCTGGAACGAGAGAAGAGACACATTAAAAATTGATCTTTTTTTTAAGTACTAATGCAGCACTAATGTCTCCAGTGCATCCTGACAAGGAATTGAAAATTGGTTCCCTTCATTCGGGTGCACTAAATTTTATTTCCCCTATCCGGCAAGGTTGGCATCTGTTTATTTGCAGATGTTCTATCACCAGCCGAGGTGACACCTTTATCTAACCAAACATTGAATTTATTTCCCAAAGCTGGTGATAAAAGGTTTGCAAACTAATTGCTCAACTCGACGTACAGTCGATTTATTCAATAAATACATAAATAAATGAACGAGTGATTATCATTCTGTATTTTTTCATAATTTCAGAATCAACGACGACTAGAAGATACAAAAGAACCGATTAATTTGGATAAGTTTGACCACGACTATCCCGAAACGGATTCGCAAATGCCAGATTCGAAGATTGTTCCACCCATGGATTTACCTATCGGTCCGCATGGTTTGCGAACCGGGCCAATCGAACACGCCCCGATTGGCAAACCGGATATTGGACCGAGGAGCCTTGAACCGACTGCTACGTTACCAAAATTACCAAATGAACCACATGAACCGGGGGCTCCCCGTCCTCATCCTCCTCCTCCACCTGGTCCTCCTGGTCCTCCTCCAATGCCAGAACCGATGGAACATGCGCCGAGAAATATCCCCATGGGTCCAGGTCCAGAAGGTAATTTACCACCAATCGGAAGATCGGAGGGACCAGTTTCATTTGATTTGCACCGAGAACATCAGGGTAGACCTTCAGAGCCACTAGGTAGAGGAATGGAGCCTCCTCACGGACCTCCTCAAGGACCTCCTCACGGACCTCCTCACGGACGCCCTCACGGACCTCCTCATGAGGCACCACCACCGCC